GTACACCTCCACTATGATGTAGCATAAAATTAGGATATCTATAAGAATACAAGTGCATAAATGTTGCAATGCCCACACACCTCAGGATGGTGACTGATAGACATAACATTGTTACTTATAAAATATGCTCTTACAAGAACCAACTCTTTTACATTTACTCATCAAGTATAGATAGGTCAGTCACTATCCCAAACTTCTTTTTTTTTTTCTTTTTATAAAAAAAAAACATTTCTTTATTTCTGCAGAACAGTTGATAAAATCAATAGAAGAGAAACAGTACTTTCAAACTTCAAAAATTAATCTAAATATAATTCACTTCAATATATAGTAGGATTGCCTTGACAACACCAAATTACACAAATGATAATTTGATAGTAAAATCTAAAATGCAACTGGTTACTTCATAGCACTTTTCTGCACTCAATCAAGGTGCAATTTGGTGCATTTTAGGCTATTTTGAAAAGATTTTTCAACATTTTATGTGGCACAGTCACATAATTGTCTTGTGTCATATGTCTTGAGGAGTAAACGAAGTTAAGCTAAGCATGATAAAAAATTCATTAATAAAGAATTGCATACTTAGCACCTACAGATACTAGAATGAGGATCCCCCTTCTCCTCCTCCTCCATGGCTGATTACAATTGAAATTTTTGAAGCCAAGTATTGGATTGGTGGCATTTTAACTAAGAAAACTGTGGTATCAACATAGCTCAGATACCTTTTTCAGTGAATAAACAGTAAAGCCAATGATTTAAAATGTAGAGGAGATCAAAACATACTCCTAGACAGACTTCCCATTCAAAAGTGTCAAAAAAAACTAGGTCAACAAAGCGCTCTGAAATGCTTGTGACAGACCATGATCGGTGCCACACTGTCTGGATACTGACAAGTGCTCACTGGCTCCCTCAGACAAGTATTTGTGTAGTACACTGCTTTTATTAGGTGGGTGCAAAAAGTTACCACATTTTTCCAACTTCATCAATTAAAATGTCCATACTTTAAGGAAGCTTACTCTTCCTCCTGTTTCTCCCTGAAATTGTTGCTAAATATATAAACTATAAGCATTTCAAGTCCGGGAAATCTCTACGAGTTACAGAAGCAGTTCAGCTATCTGCTAACTGGTCAAAACCACCGCAAGCTGGTCCCTGCAAACTCTCACTTAGCAACAGTGTGACTGCTTATTTTCCACTTCTTTCGTGGTTAAAGCTTGGAAATTATATGCTGCTAAATATTTCCCAACCGATACAAATAGTGCCAAATAAATGTGAGAGAGAGTGCCTTCTTAACTTAAATCACGTGGCTAAATTTTTCCAAGAACAACTTGCCTCGTTTTAGTTTGACTCAATACTTCCAAATTATAGAATATGACGGCACTCTGAAAACGAGGCACTGCCGACGGAGATAGTGACTGCCAGTTATTTTTAGAAAGCTGTGCATGCATTAGAATACAGAAATCTTGCATTGACGTATGTTACAGTTTGTGATGTTATTGTGCAAAAAGGGAAAAGCATGTGTAATGCTTCAATCTTTTAACATCAGATCTAACATTGTACTGACAAAAGGAAAAAAATTCATTTGCCCGCCGGGCAACTGGACGCAAAATTTACTTGTCCAAAGGCAGATTTTAGTTGCCCCGGGCAAGCGGACAACCGTTTGTGTTGAGCCCTGTATATATATATATATGATCACTTACCTTACAACAAACATCCAGAGCTAAATCCATGAGCTGGATATATTGAGGAACCCAAGCCTGACAACAGTCTGAAGTCGGTTCAACAAAAAAATGCACATTCTAAGGACGACCAGCTGGCAGTGGCTGCACAGCTGCTATGGTCATTTCTTGTTATATTCTGGTGCACACTAATCCTAAGCATCTCTAGTGCGTGTTCTTCATAAAGTTAATAAAGTATTATGTTTTAACACTGTAAAGACGATGTGCTTTGCTCCACAGTTGCTCCGGTGATAATCCTAGTACCCGCCATGTTGAAAATAGGTCACAGAGTTAGCATTGTTATTTTACATTTAGTTTCTACAACATAAACAAATTTTTAAAAAATGTATTTTTGCTTCATAAGTTTGTCTGCAGGGCAAACATGATCATTTTAAGGGCTTTTCACAAACCTATACATGATTTTGACTTATTAATTTAGTTGAAGAAACAGTTTAGCATTTAAGTATTATGAAAATATTCATTTTTAGGCCCTTTTTAAAATTGTTACAGTTCTAATTTTACAAGGTTTAACACAGATTTTATTTCACAAAATTTATTTTTCAACCCTTTTCTATCAGCACATACCAAAATCATGTGGATACAACCTGCAAAAAAGAAGTTGTGTGCATTTAAAGAAGGGGGGGGGGGTCAAGCATACGGAAAACAATCCTTTATTATAATCAACCTTGTGTGGCCATGTCAGTGCCCTTTCGAAAAATCTGTACTGGGTATTAAAGGTCTTTCCTTAACCTATCATGTGGCTTACCTAAATAATTCCTTATGATGTACATGATTTTTTAAAAGAATATTTAAAATTATAACTTTTCAAGAGCTAAAAAATGCTATATTTTGGCAAAATTGCCAATAAAAGATCTGCCCCCATATCTCTAAAACTAATGATCCAAAATAAGAAAGCCAGTGGCTCACAATATCTTTCATGTTGATGGTTACCACACCAAAAATTATTAAAATCTGCCGACCCCCACCTTGCCACCTTCTGACCGATCTGTCTGGCTTTCTCATGGACGCGCTCTTAATACATCCCGATCAAAAATAGCTTGGAGAAGTGCAGCATATATGTTGTCTGTCTGATAAATTCTTCTAATCCAAGTACATTTAAGAGAAGCAATAAAGTCAAATAAATTTAACATCTTAAGACCACCTTGTTCATAATTACCAGTTATTACACTCCTTTTAACTTTTTCCGTCTTTTTGACCCATATAAATTGAAAGAACATTGTGTTTAATATTTTCATGTATGTTTCATCTGGATTGGGAGGGGAAATGAATAGGTGGTTTAACATGGGTACAACAAGGGTTTTCAGTACAGTGATTTTGCCAATGGGCGTCAAAGGTCTCCTTTCCCATTGTTGCAACATTCTTTTAATTTTTACGATGTATTGTTCAAAATTAATTTTTATCATATCCTGCAAATTCAATGTAAATTCAATACCTAACAAATTAAAACTGTCATAAACCCAATTCATCTTCCATCGTACATGGTGAAATACCTCCTTGCTAAACTCTTTTACACCAATCCAAATTAGTTTAGTCTTAGATCTACTCTTATTTATTGCCAAACCTGATATTTTTGAAAAGAAATCAAGTGTATTAAATGCTGCAAGAAATAAGAGTCTACTGCCGTTGAGAATGAGGGAAGTGTCGTCAGCATATTGTGATATTCTAAATTCTGTATTCTCTATCTTTATACCAGTAATATCACTATTATTCTTGATCAGTAACGAAAGTATTTCAGCACATAAAATAAAAATGTACGGGGAGAGGGGGTCACCCTGTCGGCATCCTCTTGAGATTCTGAAGTATTCGGATAAATGACCGCACTGACTAATGGAGGCGCTGCAGCCGAAATTTAATATCCTAAACCATTTTTTAATTGCGTCACCAAAATTGAAGAAGTCCAGGGGCAGTTTTCTCGAAAGGTTGTAACTTACAAATTCTTGTAACTTTTCACGTAAGTCTGATCGTTCTTCTAAGTTGGTATTCTCGAAGGTTTGTAAGTTACAAACTCTTGTAAATATGCACGTAAATTTACAACTGCCTCCGACCTGTTGTAAGTCGATACGAAAAGTTGTACGCATGCGCACTTGGTGAAAAGTCGGGGAGAAAGTGTTGTCTGCGGGAATTTTATGCTCGTGTTTATTGTCGGATATTTTTGACAGCAAGTAAAATTATTAAAACATGGATGTATTATTATCAGCGAGAAAGGCTAGCCTTTCGGATATTTCAGGTTAGTTGCCTAAAGTTAACGATTTAGTCTGTCGATCGCGCAATGGCAACATGGCAGTTTGGTAGGGTGTCCGAATTTTTAAATTAAAACGAAAACTTGTATTTTTTAAAGAAAGTGGAAGAACTATTAGTGCTGTGAGAAAGCCAAGTTAATGAGCTTTTTGGTTATATAAGGCACTTCAGTTGTTACTCAAGATTAATAAATTGAGCCGCGGTTGAATTTCAGATTTTGAATCTTCGACTTTTTTTAGGGTGAAGATACATGTTTAGTCAGTGAATAAATTAAAATTATATCAAAGCACCAAGTTTTATAGATGAGGTTTTGTTCGGAATATTGTTGTCTTTCAACTGATGTATAATGTTTGCTGTCATTATATTATTTACAAAAATTCTGTGAGATTTTGTCGTGAAGGTGTGTCTAAAAATCGCCATTTTTATCGGCAATTCATTGACTCAGGTTCTTGTGCCTCTATTCCATACATGTGGTGAAGAAAATATATGTATTCTATTCACTCATCCAGCATTATCGATCAACCGAGATTGCGCATGCGCTCTGGGAACGTCATTGCGTGGTCATCTTTGAGGACGTCATACACGTGGGAAGAGACGCTCTAAGTTTTTGACGGTTTATTATTTTTTTTGTCAGGAAGACATTTATACCGTATTTACATTCTAACTGGGGTGGTACTGTGCCTCGGCAGGCGCACCTCAAGTGTCAACTGAACGCTCTTATACTGCGTGACACAAATATTTTTATCTGGGCCATGGCTGAAACGGCCAATATGGCTACACGTGCAACTTCAGACAGCACGCTAAATCCACCTGTTGTAGTCGCGAAAGGCGACTTGGTGGGTGAAATTCTATCGAACTCGATGAACGAAGTGCCACTGAGAGTCCTATAATAGACTTCTCTCACAAGAAGGCGAGTTCGGACAAAAGGAAGGCCGAAAGGTCAAACAGCTCGGCTGCTAAGAGCAAATCTAAATCTGAACTGACAGAGATTAAAGATCAGTTAAAAAATATCAATGCAGCAATGGCAAAACTGACGCCTGTTGTAGCCGAGATGAAGGCCGCGTATGATGAGGCAAGATGTTACCATTTACAAGATAATGACTCTGACTCCGATGGGGGCAGAAATGACAGTGAGTTACAAGTATTGTCTGATGGGGAATTACAGGAAGATCTGCCAGATCTAGAACCCCATAGGAAAAAACACAAGCCTGATACTCAGGGTATAGAATTGTGTGACAGACCTCACGTAGCCGGCGCAGTCAAAACCGGAATTGGGGACGTTTTACGCAACCAAAATGGCGGCGCCCAGTCACAGAGCAACGCCGAAACGAAACTTAAAACCTGCGACAGGTTTGTTGTAAAAAAGAACGTCATGTCTGGTAAAATAGACAGCGCTCTAGCAGAGAAAATTTCCGGTTATTTGATGAATGGGATTGACAAAACTGAGAAAGAAATCACTATGAAAAACGTTCTGTTTTTGCCACCAATAAACTGCCCGCGCCTAGATGTGGTACTTGTTAATCAAGGTGTGTTCAACAAAGCGGACAGGGAAACTAGGACGGGGGATGTGATCCTACAGAATTTCCAGAAATCCCTTCTTAAAGGTATTACTATTTTAGCAAAATCCATGGATAAATTTATTAAAGCTGAGGAAGGTGAAGCTGACCCTCCGTCTATTGAGGAAACTAAAGATCTACTTTCAGAGGCATTAGCTATTCTGGGAGACACCTCCCATGAAATTGATCTCAGGCGGAGAGTTCTTTTTCGTCCTACCATTGATCCTGCACTCGCACAGGCTCTGTGTGGGGACAGTGCACCAGTTGAGGGTCAACTTTTTGGTTCAAACTTGTCTCAAAGAGTTACAGAGTTAAAAGACATTAACAAAGTAACCAACAGTGTGGTAAAACCAAGCACCAGTATTTTAGGAAAAGGACATTATCCTAACTATAAGAGACTACATTCACAGGCTGCCCCTCGCTACAAGCTCAAACATGGAACTGGTAACCCTTTTTTAGGGCCAAGCTACCTGTCTCCACACAAGAAGGCAGGGTATCAGAGCAACCGGGGAAAGCAGCAGGTACAAAGGTACAAACCAAAGCCCCAGTACCCACAGAAACAGCAAAAACATCAGTGGTACTAGATCAGGTGAGCTTGAAGCCTTTTCAGGCTGGCAATATTAAAAAATTTCTACAAGAATGGAGAAATATTACATCTGATTCTAACATTCTGAACATAGTGTCTGGCTGTGACATTGATTTCGAAAAAATCCCTTCACAAAATACTGTAACACCCTGTTTTTTCTCTGAATCTGAATCTGCTCAGATAAGGATTGAACTGGGAAAACTATTAGAGAAAGGTGTAATTTCTATTAGTAAACCAGAAATGGGTCAGTATATTTCACCCATCTTTCTTAGGCCCAAAAAAGATGGGAGTCACCGGGTAATTCTAAATTTGAAAACTCTGAACAAACACGTCAGGTACAGGCATTTCAAAATGGACAGTATTCATACTTGCACACAACTTATGACTCCTAACTGTTACATGGCTTCTATAGATCTATCAGATGCATACTATACAGTGCCTGTCAGTAAAGATGCACAAAAATACATGAAGTTTGAATTTGAAAACACCTTGTATCAGTTTCAGTGCCTAGCTAATGGATTGTCATCTGCTCCTTTTCTGTTTACAAAATTATTGAAACCTGTGCTTGCAGAACTGAGATCTAAGGGTTTTGTTTCTAGCAATTATTTGGATGATTTTTTCCTCACAGGGGACACTTTTGAACATTGTTTACAGAATGTACAAGAAACTTTGAATTTACTTACAAAATTGGGTTTTTTCATCAATATCAAAAAATCAGTCATAACACCAACAAAAGTTCTTGACCATTTGGGGTTTATATTGAACTCAGCTGACATGACAGTCAGCATAAATGAGGATAAAAAACAAAAAATTGAACTTTGGGCAAACAGATTGTTATCACTCAAACAGACTAACATTAGAACTGTGGCCAAAGTAGTTGGCATTCTAGTTTCTTGCTCTCCTGGAGTGCAGTTTGCACAGCTATACTATCGACAGTTGGAAATTGATAAAATCTTTGCACTCCAGAAAAGTAAAGGCAATTTTGAAAAGAAAATGACAATTTCACTCAAAGCCAAACATGATCTCCACTGGTGGATCGATAATGCGCACAAGGACAAAAACCCCATTTCTCATGGAAATTCAATGTTCACCTTACAAACTGATGCTTCCATGCAAGGTTGGGGGGCAAAATGTGATGGTTTTGAACCTACAGGGGGAAAATGGGCAGGCACAGATTGTTTTGAACACATAAATTTCCTTGAACTCAAAGCTGCATATTTGGGGATACAGGCCCTCTGTCAGAACATTACAAACTCCCATGTGCTTCTTTAAATGGACAATGTCACAGCCGTTGCTTATGTAAAGAATATGGGGGGTACCCATTCTCTTTGCTGCAATAATCTAGCAAAACTTATCTGGGAATGGTGTAAGGAGAAAAACATTTGGTTATCTGTTACACATATACCTGGAATTATAAATGTTGATGCTGATCGAGCAAGTAGGAAATTTGATGATCGAACTGAATGGATGCTAGATAGTTGTGTTTTTCAGAGGTTAACAATGTTGTGGGGGAAACCTAAGATTGACATGTTTGCCTCTAGACTTAATTTTCAGTTAGATACGTATGTTTCATGGAGAGCTGATCCGGGGGCAGTAGCAATAAATGCTTTCTCGGTTAGTTGGAATGATAATTTTATGTGGATTTTTCCTCCTTTCAGTTTAATGAGTGCAGTATTGAGAAAGTTGAGAGAAGACGAGGGGGAGGCAATAGTGATAGCACCAGTCTGGAACACTCAACCTTGGTGGCCCCACATTTGTCGAATGCTGGTAGAACAACCAATCCTTCTACCCAAGAGGAAAGACTTATTAAGGCTACCGTCGGATCCTCTCAGGATACACCCACTGTGGCCAAAACTTCAGATGATGGCCTTTCGCTTGTCAGGGAAAGATTACAAAAACAAAGTGTATCAGTACGAGCCCAGGAAATTATATTGAATGCTTGGAGATCTGGCACTAAAGTTCAATACAAAATATATTTGAACAAGTGGGAACAATTTTGCACACAACGTAACCTTGATAAATTAGATCCCATGATCAGTGATGTTCTAGATTTCTTAGTATTGCTTTATGATTCAGGTATAGGTTACTCAGCATTGAACACTGCCCGGTCAGCACTGTCAACTATTGTCAGAGTTCAAAATTGGACAGAACCTCTTGGAACTCATCCACTCATAAAAAGGTTTTTAAGATCTGTATTTCAATCCAGACCAAGTTTGCCGAGATACACAAAAACTTGGGATGTCAGAGTGGTTCTTGATTACCTTAAATCTCTTAAAACACCATCAGAACTCACATTAAAACAGTTGACAGAAAAACTGGCCATGTTGTGTGTTCTGGTGACTGGTAACAGATGCCAATCTATCACATTAATGGACATTGATCACATGGAAAAACTAGATACACACTACAAGTTTCATATTAGAGATTTAGTTAAACAGTCAAAACCAGGCAAGCATATGGCAGACCTGCTTATACCAGCATATCCTGTGGACAAAAATGTTTGTGTCGTGACGTTATTAGAGGAATATCTTGTTAGGACTTCTAATATTAGGAACAGTAATAGATTATTTGTGAGTTATGTCAAGCCTCACAAGAACATAAGCACTGCTACCTTAAGTCGTTGGATAAGAAGTGTGCTCAGTAAAGCTGGTATAGACACAGACATGTTTAAGGCACACAGTACACGGGCTGCATCAACTTCAGCAGCGAAATCGATGAATGTACCACTAGAACAGATTATGAAAACTGCAGGGTGGAGCAGACAATGCACATTCAGCCGATTTTATGATAAACCTGTTGATGAACCAAACTATGGTTGCAAAATTTTGGACAGAGTGAAATAAAAATAATAATAATAATAATAATAATAATAATAATAATAATAATAATAAAAAAAAAAAAAAAAAAAAAGTTGAAGTAGTTTAGGTATTTTGAAGTTCAGGTTGATGTAGTTAAACTAGTTAAAGTTCTGGTTAGAATAAAATATGTTGCTTATTACATTTTGATACCAGTTAAAAGTTTTATTCAGATTTTGTAATAAACAAAAGTTGAATCTGTTTGGTTGTTTTTTGTTGTTACTATTGTTGAAGTCAAACCATGTGAGCTTTGAAATCTCGGTTGATCGATAATGCTGGATGAGTGAATAGAATTTTAAAATTAAACAAGACTTACCTGTAAGTTGAAGTTTGATTATAATTCTATTCACTCATCAGCAGCATAGAGATCAATCGCCCACCTCAGATCCCACCCTGACAACATCTTTTCACATGGTTTTTCCTGCTTTAAATAATGACGTTCCCAGAGCGCATGCGCAATCTCGATTGATCTCTATGCTGCTGATGAGTGAATAGAATTATAATCAAACTTCAACTTACAGGTAAGTCTTGTTTAATTTTAAAATTCTACATCACAAAAAAATACATTTCAAATGCTTTAAAATGATATACTGCACACTATGTATCAAAAAGTATCGAGAGGCTGCCAAAGGAATAGCTGATGACTGCATTTAAAACTATGTATAAGTTTCATTAACTTTATTTTGTAGGTTTTGTAAATAATAATGTATTGGCAGCATTCAGGGATGATTATAATGACTTATCATCTACTTTCGAATGATTTTTATATTTTAGCAGTATTTTAACTAATTTAAAAGGCTCGGTTTATCCATTTAAACGAAGGAGATCCAGTTCAAATAATGAGGTAATCATCATTAATGGAAAAAACAAATGACTTAAAACTATTTTAAATACCCAAAATGACTTAGGCCTACTAGTAATGTGTGAGTTAGTAAAAGATTTTACATATTGGCATTTGTGATAGTATTCCACTTATGACTTACCTTGCATAACACTGTAATTATTAAAAAGTTACAGAAGAAAATTCCAATTTAGAGTAAAATGACACTTGCTTAGGTTACACTTTTAAATTGATAATGACAACTGTAGCTGTTTTCTTGGTACTATTTCATTTTGTAAATTGATTCCATATTGCAAAATAAATTCCCTGCATTAATTTAGTACCATGTACTTGCTGCAGTCCTAGGGAAAATAAAACCAGAATACAACTTAATTAAATCTTTAACCAAAGGAATCACTGCATGTACATATTCATTATTAACCTTCGATTTTCATCATGAAATAAAAATTTTCAGTCTTGTTACAATAATAATGAATGTAAAATGATTTATTTATTTCATCACAATAAGAATAATAATAACTAAGTTTAAATGCTTATTATTTTGAAAAAAAGCATGCTGAAACATTTCTCTTTTATGATGCCTGTGCACACACTCACACATACATGCGCACACAAACAAGATTGTCTCTTTCCATCATATATATTGCTTATTAGGAATTATTTTGGGTTTTGTTTTTGGATAAAGATAAAATATGCATTTCTTATCACAATCGTTATGGCTAAAACTAAAATTGCAGTGTACTGTACAGTGAATTTTATTATATTTTCAGGTAACTGAATTATTCAATTTGAGTAAACAAAAAAAAAATCTTATAATTATGCTTTGAAAAATATTTCAGCTATCGCTTGTAATCAGTACTCACAGAACAAGTTGGTTTAGGGATAATTACTACCTTTCACTTTATATTTCATTTATCATGAGTTATCATGGATGTTTGTACAACTTTCTATGATTAAAGTGTGCAAAGTAAAGATTCATATATGAACACTAAGGACAAATTTAAGGATTTTATAAGAATTTTGAGACAGTCACTTTAATTCAATAACTTTTCAAGGATTCTCTGAATGCAAATGAGAACAATGTACAGTCACAAGTTTACATACCAAAGGAAAAAAAAAACAAGAAAGATATCATTTAAATAATTTTTACACACTGGTGATGAAACATTAAAAAAAAAAGAAATTAAATGATGTCCAAAAAAGGGTCATCTCCCTACCTGTGAATTACTGCCTTCATGCATCCAGGTTAAAAACTATGTAAGATCAAATTCAAGCACTTTTCAAGGACAAAAATGATTGAATACAACTAAAATGACATAATTTTGGGTGTACACAGCAACAGAGTCATGTGTCATTAATGTATACTGTGTCACACACACATAAATATACAAACACTACTTAAATCTTTGTCAAGATTTTGTAAGTCTCAGCTGCAGTGAAATAAAACAAGAACACGGGCACTTGCAAAGTATTTACATTTCATATGACAACTTTTGGTGAAAAATTCAGAAGGAAAGAATATATTTGGTTTTCAGTGAGTGTAAATTAGTAGATATTATAAATATAAAAAATACCTGAAATTATTGAAAATGTGATTGAGTAATGAGTGATCAATTTTATTATTATTATTATTATTATTATTATTATTATTATTATTAGGTTTTTATTTATTTAAAATTTCCTTAATTTTCATTTTTCTTTATTGATTGCACTAACCAACCTGTAGGTACATGTTCATTTGTACCAGTGCAATGTAACTTGCATTTTTTTCTGACATGAAAAAAAAATGTACTCACTCTTCATGGTAGCAACAAAAGTATAAAGAAAGAAATATTTCTACATTTACATCACCCCCATTAATGAATCAAATGTATCATTTGTATTAAAGGAAATGTCATTTTTGGGGAAAAAAAATGGGCCATTAACTTATTCATGTGACTTTATTTCTATTATTAATATTATTTGTGGCTTAACATGAAAATAACATTCACTTCTCATGATAAAAATTGATATCACAGGAAAGAAAAATCATTTATACACACTCACACTTAGTAACAATGTTTATATATTAAATTTTAAAATACATTTTCATATCAAATTGAATGTCATATATTCAGTGAACTTATTTGTATGACTTTGGAACTTTGGTGTACTAAGACAGCATGAAATCCACGCAGGTGTCAAATTTGAACAGTGTGGTGAGTGTTTATTATAAACTACTTACTTTAGGGAATATATTCGAACGTTTTCATTGCAAATTTAATGAATTACAGTGCTTTTTGCCAGCGGCAAACGTGGGGAATCCCAGCTGGGGGAACCCCACAAGAGGAGCCAAGTCCGATTTCTGAGCTTGCATGTCGGAGGATGCACATTCAATATGAGTGGATTTTATGATGAGAACTTGAAAGAAGATGTCGTGGCACATTTTTCTGAATGATTCTCAATACATTTCAATAGACTTTTTGTCTAGATAATCGTTTTATCGATGCAAAGCATGGCAGTGGAATACGTCGTTGTGAGTTATTCATGGACCAAACGTCACTTCTGGAAAGTTACGTGAAAAGTTACAAGAGTTTGTAAGTCCGAGACTTACAAGAGTTTTGAGAATACCGTGTAAGTCTAAGTTACAAGTTCACGTAAATAGTTACAAATTGTTGTAAGTTACAAAGTTTTGAAAATACGGCCCCAGTACATTAATTATAAAATCCCAGTCAACCGAATCGAAAGCCTTTTCAAAATCAATTTAAACAAGCAAGCCTGGAATATTTCTTTTTTTTCTGTGATGTGCATTAGGTCATATATCAACCGTGTGTTTTCTCCTATATAGCGGCCAGCTAAAAACCAACATTTAGAAGGGGAAATTAGTTTGTCTAATATAGTTTTTATTCGTTCAGCTATATCCGGATATTAGTTTATAAAATACATTTAATAATGTTATAGGTCGCCAATTTTGTAAAAATTTTCTATTCTTGTCCCCTTTCGGGATACAAGTAATAATGCCAAGTTTCTCGCTAGTTGGTAACCTTTCTTTACGAAATACTTCATTTACCATTCTGATCATAAATTCTTTCAAGTCTGACCAAAAAAATTTGTAAAACTCAGTTGTAAAACCATCGGAACCCGGAGATTTGTTATTCTTCATTTTCTTTAGGACTGTAAGAAGTTCTATCTTGGAGATTTCTCCCTGTAACAGTTCTTTTTCGGTATCATTTAATTTAGGCACGTTAAATTGGTCAAGAAGGACTCGAAGATCAGTTTTTTCTACAAATTCTTTTTTTGAGGAATACAGACGTTCATAAAATAGTTTAGCTTCATTAGGTATTTCCCTTTGATCAAAAATAACAGTGCCGTCTTGCAGTTCTAGATTTTGTACAGTTTTGTTCACGTAATGTCTAGATTCTAGAAAATGGTGCTTTCTTTCAACACACAGTCCATCTAGTACAAATCCTGAAACGTTTCTAGATAGACTTGGGAAAGCTGTTGATTTAGTCCTACGAAATTGTGAAAATGTTGCAATAATTGGTGATTTAAACTGTGATATGAAACATGAGCATTGGAATGGTAAACTTCTACAACAGTTCTGTGATATTTATGATCTAAGAAATATTATCATTGTGCCTACTTGCTTTAAATCCTCAAACCCTACCCAAATAGATATTGTTTTATGTAACCATCCCAGAAAATTGAGAGAAGAGCNTCTGGTAGTTGGGTAGGCCTGACAATAAAAGGCCCCTGTTTTTAAATGTTTTCTGGGATGTTTAAATTATTGTTTTTCTTTTTATCAAGAGCTTATAAAATATGTAGGTTTTACCTCCAATATTTCTGTGACTGTCAGTCACCATCATCAGGGAGTAAATGACTAGGGTCATTTCACCTGGAATGAAAATCCAGGTCAATTGCCCCTAATCACTATCTCACGGTGCTCCAGAGGGATGCAGAGGAGCCCCGGGGGGAAGGTGTAACAGTTACAACACAAGGCCAGTGATTAGGGGCAATTGACCTGGATTTTCATTCCAGGTGAAATGACCCTAGTCATTTACTCCCTGATGATGGTGACTGACAGTCACAGAAATATTGGAGGTAAAACCTACACATTTTATAAGCTCTTGATAAAAAGAAAAACAATAATTTAA